CATCTATGGACCAATCCATATTTCAGTTGGGTCTGTTTCCACAATGAGATATGTTAATGAGGAAGGACTGCATTGACAGAATTCTGTAATGGACTGCAACAATAAAACTGCTTTCAGAATGCCACCCATAATTGTGGATTGGCATTTGAAAATCCAAATGTTTGGCTTCCAAATATTTAAAATGATATGACTTCTAATGAAGAAGAATATAATGGATAATATAAGTCAAACACTGTGGACACATTGGAATAGCATGCCTGTATTCACCTTAAGGAATAGCTATCCCCTATAACTGAAAAGCTATAGATTAAGGAAGTCGAAACCAATCAAAACCATTTTTGCAAGTCAGTGAAATTATCATATACTGGTGACAACCATTGAATACTAACTGCCAATCTTAATTGCATCTCCCTTCCCTGTACTAATAGTACAGAGAGAAAAAGAAACCCCTGAACTGTTATGCTGGTAGGGATATGTTGAAAGTTGGTGTCCAAAGAATTAACTTTTCCAATCTCTGACACCCTCAATTTCTGATGGTTTAATGTAGTGGTTCTCAACCTGTGGGTCCCCAGGTGTTTTGGCCTACAATTCACAGAAATCCCAGCCAATTTGCCAGCGGTTAAGAATTCTGGGTTGAAGGCCAAAATATCTGGGGACCCACAGGTTGATAACCATTGGTTTGGTGTATACAAACATGGTTTTATACACAAAATTACACAAAGAAATAATATTTGAAAACCTGGCTGTTCCAATGTGCCTTTTCAGATTAGGAATCTCCCACTACCAAATCCCAGAAGCACTTTAGTACCAAATCACCGCACACTGCACACCGCACTTATATCATAATCCCACACCCCTCCGATACATCAGCACTTTTAACCTTGTACCCCTACTCCGGCCGACTCAGTTTTTAATAATGTCTTGTCGTATTGCTATTGTTATTGTTTTTCTGCTTAACTGTTTTTATTTGCTAGATATTGTATTGTTGTATTGTGTTGGGCTTCGGCCTATTGTGAGCCGCATCGAATCCTGCGGGAGATGCTAGCGGGGTACAAATAAAGTTATAATAATATAAAAATTATTGCAAAATACTGTAAATAATAAATATCAGGCCATGTATTTAAGGTTATATGAAGCATACATTTTGTATTTAATTGGGCTCCCATCTCCAAGATATTGCATTATGTACATATATGCAAGTATCGGTATTCCAGACCCTCCAAAAATCTGAAACATTTCTGGTCCCAAGCATTTCATATAAGGGATATTTATACTGTTGTAGTAACAGTACTTCGGTTGCCAGATGGTAGCTTTTCAAATCTATATGCATAACTTATGAAACATACAATGGCCAAAACAAAATATCAGCTTCCTAGAATACATGAATGCTGTGATTCTGCCAAAGATAAGTACTTCTGAATTCAACCAGATTTTAGTGGGAAAGGTTTTAATGCATTCTTAATTAAATCTTCCATCAAATGTAATGGGCAATAAAAAGGCCTGGCTTTTGTGGCATCCCAAGTTTCCTATATTTCTCCTGGCTCCAATTTAATCTTCTCGCCTTCCCAAAACTTAAGGTTTTTAAAGCACATCCTAGACATGTGATGAAATAGAAAGATGTGTCAGTCTCCCTGAGAGGATAATCAATGTCATTATTCTTTGAGCAATATGATCAACTTGGCAACAATCTGGATAACTGAAACCAAAAATAAATGCAAAGAAAAGTGGGGAGGGAAGAGGAAGCAGAGAACAGCAAAAACAAATAAACCAACCAAAAAACCCACCCCAAAACGAACAGGTTATATCTCTAGAAATGTGTCTGTTTCATATGATTGAAGCCAAAATAAGATTTTAAGTGATATGATGTTTTAGGCTGATTATTTTCTGAAAATGACAAAAGCAAAAATAATGTGTTAAATACTTTCTGCCCCCCACTTTATATCTTATTTAATGGCCCTTTTTGGCATGCGCAAAAGAGTAGATTTTACTACTTTAATAAACTACAGAGTCAAAATTATCAGTGAAGGTATTTTTGTATGAATCACTGAAAGATAGCCTCAGAGTCAAATATCTGAAAGGTCATTTGTTAACTATAATGATGACAAATTAATATGAAAAGAAAGGAAAGGAGGTGAGATAAAATGAAATTCATACTAAGCACTATGATTGCTGTAAGGGAAACACTGGATTTGGTTAGAGTAGACTAATCCTCAGATTTATGCCAATCAGCTCATTGAACTATAAACTCTTATCATCCTCAGTTAACATGGGCATGACTTCTAATCAGGATCCCTCCAAATGTGTTGAATTGCACCAAGTTGGGGGAAATTATATAATGATTTACCTATACATTATGTTTTATTTATCTTGCTGAGTCCACAAAATGATGAGAAAACAGATACTGTAAAACCACAGTAACCTACAATATTTAAACACAGTTAAATCAGATCATTATATTTTTAAAAGACAACCAAACTAAAAGCAATTTAAAATGGAAAACCTATTCATTCCAAAGGGTTTACTCTGAGTATACTTAGGATTGGATCTAACAGATAGTCCTCAAAAGATAATGGCAGTAGTTGTATCTTCTTTACAGAATTTAGCATTAGCAGCAGACTTTATCATGAATGCAATCAATAATTTAGTCGCAGCTTCTCCTAAAATCATGCTCATAGTTATAGCCTCCTGATTCTTCTTAGGACAGGCTAGGATATTAATTCATTTTGTAAGTGAGTTGGGAGATGGTCTTTTCTGAAACACAGAACACCCAAATTCATAGCAATGCCCAGACATTAGTGCTTCTCCATTCATTTCCGGGAAGTAAACAGAACTTTTGTGCAAGTAAACAGGGAAACCGTGCATGTAAAATTGGTGGCTGCTGACATTTGCAGGGGCACTGCCATGAGGTAATGATAGTCAGATCAAAGTTCAGCTTCTAAATGCTACATCTAGAAAAGCAGCCCCTGCTTTTTAATCAAAATTGAGTTTGTTAGTCTCAACTGGAGGGTTACCTTTGTGTGCAAAAGCATACATTTGTGTGTGTACTTATGTACATATGATGCATTATCAGTGAGAAAAATATACATGCCATTTTCCTTGAAAGTCACATCAAGTAACAAATGCAAATTCCTTCTGTGACCTTCTATGGAGAGATCTGTGGAAAATTCTCAGAATATTCTGTCTTATTGCCTTATACAAACAAGGTCACTTCTCAGATATTTTATGACTATCCTTCACTATTTTCTACATGGATGGATCTGTCAGTCATCATTCACTACAAACAGGACATCCCAAAAGTGTGCTATGCCTGGGACTTTCTGGAAAGTTCAGTGCTTGCCAGGCTAAAAAGTGGCTACTCTTTCTGCTACCGCAAAAACATCCTATACCCAAAACACATTAAGAGAAAATGAAGAAACCTTTTTTTTTTACTGCTACTCAAAGTTCTAGATGTAGGGAACAAAATGAGGACCAAGTAATAATACTATACTCCTTCCCAATAAAAAAATCCTTCAGCTCTCAAACATCTAGCATTGCAGAGAGTGAGACATTGAAACCATTCACATATAGAACTCCTGTAATTGCTGTGTTGCTTTCCCATGATAACTTTACCTGCTCCTCTTTTTTTGGATGTTGAAACTGTGTTTCTACATTCTCAATTGAAGTTACAGCAATGCTAGAAATCTTGGGACTGAGAACAAATTTCAATGTGAGCAAAATTATTGTGAGTTGCAATGGCCTCATTTTGCGCCTTCCCCATAGCTACATCTCAACTTCTGCCACTCTTGGTGAACCCCATGTAACTGTCAAAGAATCTCCTTCCCTTGGAGAAGGTATGCAAAATGGTTTCCTGCAATCTACTGTCCATGCATAGTAAGCAGCCTCTACCCAACATACCAATGCAGAATTTTGAGAGTCCATTTCCTAATAGTTCACATTCTGAGAAAAGACTACTCCTATCCTTCCAGCTCCAAATATAGGTAGTCTAAAAATCTTTGACAGAAAGGTTTCTTGAGCATTGTTGTAATTGTGTGCCTTAAAGTCATTTACAAATTATGGTGGTATTTACGGGTTTTCTTGGAAAGATTTGTTCAAAGGGCATTTTCCTTTGGCATCCTCTGATTCTAGTATGACTTGCCCAACGTCATCCAGTTGGTTTCCATAGCTGAGTAAGCATTGGAACCCTGGTGTCAAGAGTTGTAGTCCATTGCTCAAACCATGACACTATGCAGGCTCTGTCCTGATGGTTTTGCTTTTTTCTGAATTTCCTTGAAATTTATTTTGGCATTAATCATTGAGCAATTCAAGGAAATCGAGAAAGAAAACCTAACCCAAAAAATTTGAAGACAGGAGACCATGTATCTGACTTTATGGATTTCATTGGAAATTAAAAATAGTGTATAATAAAAAGAGGTTAGATGTGGCATTTGTGTTTCATGAGGATTTTTTTTTTGCTAAGCTCTTAATAAATATATGAAGCCTGGTACAGCCCTTCTTTTATTGTACACTGTTAGGCATACATAGCAATCTATGACCAAGGAAAAGGAAATATGTTAGTAATATGATTTCTTTGCTCAGAGAATAGGCAGGAGAGGAAATAGAATATGTCCCAAGTTACTGAACTATATTCCTTTCATTTTGTATTATCAGATCTTTTTTTAAAAAAAAGAAGAAAGAAACTAACACTGAGTTATTTCAAATAAGAATATTGACAACAATATTTTAGGCATTAAAATAGATTATACCTTCTACTTCTCCATTTAAAAAAATATCAGATATTCTCTTAATCTAAAATATGATTTTTTGCTAGTATTATCCCTTTTATTATAACTTTTCTCCAGTTCTGAGCACTGTTCAAGGAATCATAAGCAAAATAATGTATGTATTTCTAGAGGCAGGCAGTCAAGGGCTTAATGATCACAGAGAAAACAATGTTAACTATTGCATTGTGAAGAGCGTTACATTCTAGACTGCCAGCAGCCTACGCAAGCCAGAGCACGGCAGACGTTAAACACTTATACTTTAATGCAACAACACTTTAGGTATTTCCACAGTCAGAAATTCATTGCAACATGGAAACAATTTGGGCGAAACAATGAAATACAACATTCTGCTCATTTGGCATAGCAGTATAACAAACAGCTGAAGAATATCAGCAAGGTCTTCTGAAAAGACTAGAACCTTTCTCCCAACACACACATGCAGACTGTGGATTAATTCAGTAGAGGTCAACCACTAATAGGTGGATGACCAAACCCCATATGGGTGGGGAGGCTGAAAATACTGAAGCGGTGTGCTTAATATTTGAAGTAATCTAGGGCAGCATCCAAACCATGTGAAATAATCTGAGTAGTCTACTCTGTAGCTGCCTTGAATAGACCATGGGATGCTTGCACATACTACCGAGGAAGCAGTCCAGATAGTTTGTACCAGTGCCCTATCTTCCTGGTGGTTACCACCAACACCATCACATTGTACGAAAGCAAATACCCACCAGAGCCTCATTTCTCATGAAGTCACAACTTGGCACCCAACTGTGTCATCAACAGATGTGACATTGCTAATAAGGCTCTGTCGGGGAGATGCTTCTGTTAGTGTTGGGTATTTTTGACATGTGGAAACTGAATTGCTCCAAATCCAGCCCAGCCTAGTGGCCCACACATCAAATATACCTGCAGTTCTTTTTGTACCAGATTAAAGGATGGTTAAAGCACTTGTGCTGTGTAACTGGCCATATGCCATCTGAACTGCTCACAGAGGGTTCAAAGTGAGAGTGTTTTATTTGGTCTGTGTAGATAATCGAGTAGGTCTGTCCTAGTTGTGGGTTGTGTTTGATGTGGGAAAGGAATTGCTCCTTTATTCTATCAGGGGCAACAGCATCATAAGTAATGAAAACATAACTAAAAGTAGATTCTTTCTGTAGAGAAAGCATCATAAATGTGGGGATAGTGGGATGGACACTAAGATTCTGTTCTAATAGATTTATGTATAAATAGGTGTGGCCAAAGAAAAAATGATTTAAGAAAAACTCAGGAGTGATTATGTAATTGGTCATATAGTTTATAGGGTAAGATATGAGCAGGCATCAATTGCTCTCACACATCAAAATTAGTACCAAGATTCAACGTTATTTCAGTGGGTTTTTCTCTTGGGTGGGCTGAGAGTGAACATATATAATCACAATCCTTTAACATTATCCGTATCTAATCAGCTCTGGATAAAAACAGGATTTTGCCTTTGTGGATCAAAATATACAGATTTCATGAAGTTAGTAGGGAGTTTTGTAGAGGCGATTGTTTATCAGCATTAAAAGGCAGACCAACTTTGCGATGAAATTCATTACCTAAGTTGCTGAAGATTTAAAAGGCAGGCTTTCCAAAATATTGTAAGCTGATGTTCCTGAGGACAACAGCTATGGTTCTTCGACTTCTGTTCCAGTATTAAGCTACATTGAATAAGAAGTTCAACCTTCATTCATTTACTTGCAAAATGTTTCGACTTTGTGATTCACTTGTGAGTGCAGATGAATTTATTGAGCTTCTTTTTAACACCTTATTTATGATGTCCTTCCATGTCTTCTTGTACTGATGCCGTAACAAAGAGTACACAAAAGGATCTGAAACAGCCTTGCTATAAGCCAAACACTTGGAAATGACTCCCCAGTGTGCATTGATGGGGGCTACTGATGACAGTTCTACCAGTCTGCAGAGAGAGAAAAAAAGACTAACATTACTGTCTGGTAAAAATATCGAGGAGTACAATTGAGTGCAAGCATTCTATTTTCACTGAACAACCATCTTCTGAGACATTTATAGCAATATGATTACAATGTTCTAGTGTTATTGCTTGATTTAGCTACCTTGGCTACGGATAGCCTAATGCCAAAGAACGTACCTACATATACAACAGTATGAATTGACACATATATACAGGATATATACACTATGTCGTTTAAAGTCTTTATATGCTTTCAGGCACAAAATTGAAAACCACAGGCCTAAATCTAGTAGTTAGTCCTAAATATTGCTTCAATTGGTTATAGAACTGAAATCTGGATTTAAGTTATAGCATAATTGGCCCGTTTAATTTTTTAAAATAGAAAATATCACAGCATCAGAATGAGAATAAAGCAAAGCCACTGAATAAGTGACAAAATTGTTTGCTGAAAGGGGAATCACTTTGATTCATTATCTGCTTTCCAAAAACAGAAGCTGAAGATGCCTCCAGCTTTTTAGGAGGATCTCTTCCCTTGTTCACCCCTTCAAATGTCAACTCCTGCGATAATCAGTGATCGGACTGGAATAACCAATGGTAAAAAATACCAAGAGATCCCAACAGTAACTTATAATTCTATTGTTTCCACCGCAGCTCTAATTCACCACTATTGTGAGAGCAGTAGAAAATCAGAGTGGATATACAGACCAAGACTGTTAATGGTTATTGTGACCCAAGGTAACCACTTGAAGAAAATACTTTTATATTATTGATTTCAAGTGAACAATTAGTTTCTGCTTCTTCCGATTACTTTCTATTAAGCTGTCAGATTCAGAATAGATTTTTTGTCACATTCAGTGAAGCCGATTCTAATATGTAAGATCGCTGCTAAGCAAGATTTAATTGTCTGCAGAAACTTTTGTGGTTTTTCTCACAAGGTTTCTGCTGTTATCACAAGCAAGGAATGAGATGGAGAATGCAAGAAACATGTGGGTCTGTGTACACACTGAACACCGAAAGTAATGAAATAAAAATAATTAGTCAGTAAACACTCTGAACAAATCTTGTCAAGAAAACCTGCAATAGGTTTGCCTTAAAGTTGCCATAATTCATAAATGGCTTCAAGACCCACAACAACAATTAGAGTAAAAACAATACAGTTAAAAAAGATTCCAGCACATAGTGAGATACATACACACACACACACACATCAGAATCTCTGAAATGTTTTATAAAATGAGAAGCAGGCTTGGAAACTAACCTTGAGTTTGGAGTCCAGAGCTACAAAGAAGTTGAATAAAATAAGGTGTGATGTGTGGAGAAGCAGGATGCATGAATAGATGAGCTTTCCTTGAGCAGCGCATTCTGGATTCAGCACATTGATCACAATAGGGTACAGTTAAACCTACTTTAAGTTTTCACTATAGAAAAATTGTGCCTTGTATATGAACATATGGCTGCCTTATATTGAGTCAGACTGTTGATCCATTTATTCAGAATTCAATGGGTCTCTGTGGCTTCAGGAATTTTTTACCCCTTTCCATAATGCCAAGATTTGAACCTGGAACCTCTACCAATGAACAGAGATCCTCTACCACTGAGCTGTAAACCTTTCCTGAGCATTGATTTTGATTGAGTAATGCTCATTACATGACTTTTGCATGCATTTCAGGCCATGGACCAAAAGATTTAGGGAAAAAAATAAATGAATGACAGTCTCCTAGCAGCCCACAAAGATCAGTCTGAGGGCAGCAATGATACTATTAATGTCACTCCAAATTTCACGTGTGCCAAAACAGTATCATTTTTTCCATGAAGTATTTTGTTAAAAATAAATGTACACATTCAAAATGTTCAGAGAAGCTAACATAACCTTTTAGATTGTTCCCTCTTATGCTGCTTCTGAAGCACAGAAATCAACATTTCAATAATTCATTTCCACTAGAACAATTTTGAGTGATGTTTTCTTTAAAGCTTCTTTTTGTTTCTTCCCAGCAATTGATCATGGCAACAGAAAAGGAGACTTTTTGTGAACACCCCAACACTTGGTGCAAAATCTTCAATATCATTCAGTAATGACAATGAAGAATTCTGTTGCTTTTTGTTTTTGTTTTTTAAACCCTCAAAGTGTTCCTATTCCAAATGAACACTGTGCATAGCCTAGCAGGTATTAATTAGTGATGTCTTATAAGGAATATATACAATCCAGTAGTTCTAAGTGGGAAAGTTGTGATATATAAGAACCTATCTCTTAACTGATGCATCTCGTCTCCAGGGATATAGTGGCTGCTAAATATCTAGGATAGTGCAGAATGCAAGGAAGCTAGCATATATACGTGGAGGGGGCAGATAAACATCTTTGTGTATTAGAAAAGAGAATAGTTTCATTGCAAGATTCAGCAGCCTCTTGGACTTATTCAGGATCAAATTGCCAAAATGTTTTCAGAAGGGGATTATTTGGTGTGGGAGAGGAAGTCTTCTTAAACATTTCATGAACCAAATACATAGATGCTGTTAAACTAGATCAGTGTTTCTCAACCGTGGGTCAGGACCCCGGGGGGGGGGGTGACGAGGGGTTTTCAGAGGAGTTGCCAAAGACCATCATAAAGCACAGTATTTTCTGTTGGTCATGGGAGTTCTTTGTTAGTTGCTGGGGTTGAGAATTCTCTTTGATTGTAGGTGAACTATAAATCCCAGCAACCACAGCTCCCAAATGTCAAGGTCTATTTTCCTCAAACTCCTCCACTGTTTGCATTTGGGCATATGGAGTATCCATGCCAAATTTTGTCCGGATCCATCATTGTTTGAGTCCACAGTGCTCTCTGGATGTAGGTGAACTACAACTCCAAAACTCAAGGTCAATGCCCACCCAATCCTCCCAATATTTTCTGTTGGTCATGAGAGTTCTGTATGAAAAGATTGGTTCAATTCCATCATTGGTGGAGTTCAGAATGCTCTTTGATTGTAGGCTAACTATAAATCTCAGCAACTACAACTCCCAAATGACAAAATCAATACCCTCCCCCAACGCAGTGAATTTTGGTCCAGTGAATCAAAATACATCCTGCATATCAGATATTTACATTACAAATCATAACACTAGCAAAATTACAGTTATGAAATAGCAACAAAAATAATGTATGGTTGGGGGTCACCACAACATGAGGAACTGTGTTAAGGGGTCGTGGCATTAGGAAGGTTGAGAAACACTGATCTAGATCATATATTATTTACAATAATGTTAACTAACAAAGAATTTGCTCCCAATTTACAGTACAGATTGAGTAGCCGTTATTTGAGTGCTTGGGACCAGAAATATTTTGGGTTTGGGATTGTGCAATGCCCACATTTGCATATACAAACATAAATAAAGAAATCGATATCTTGGCAATGGAACCCAAGTCTAAATACAAAATTGATTTAGTTTTTTCATATAACTTGTATACACATAGCCTGAAGATACTTTTATACACAATATTTTTTAATAATTTTGTGCATGAAACAAAGTTTGTGTCCTTTGAACCATTAGAAAGCAAAGGTATAACTAAATTAGTCATCCATGTGGACCTTTTTGGATTTTGGAATATTTCAGATTTTGGAATTCCAGATAAGAGAAGTTCAACCTGTAATCAAAATCTGTTGCAAGTAGAAGTTGCCTCATTCTCCCCAATGATAGCCCTACCTCAGTTACTAGCTGTCTGATTATTTAAATGAAATTGAAATGGCTATCTTAAAACGTACCTTGTGATTACATACGGTGCAAAACAAAGTACAAAAGTCCCAATAAATGTACTGATCTTCTTAGTTGCTCTTTGCCTCCTCCTCTTCTGTTCTTCTAGACATCGTTCTCTTACACTGTATAGCATTTCACACAAACAAGAAAGCAGATTATAATTCCAGATAAACTTTCACCTCTTTTACTTATCAATTCCACCATAAGTTTTCTGAAGTGGGCTTCCATTAATACAGAGTGGCCTTGAAAAAAAAGTTATGTAAACCAGTATTTTTTTTCAGCTATCTGATCTGGGGGACAAGCAGCATTTTCCCCCAATGTGCTATGGCATATTCTCCAACTGTTATGATAGGGTGGGATAGCCCTGATTTCTGCTGCTCCACCTTTTTCAGCTGCTTTTAAAATGTCTCATTTTCTCTCTTCTCCTACCATTTTCTTATTTAGCCCTCAGCTTAATTCAGTTTCTGCAAAGCTGAATTCAAAGTGAAAAATAGTTTGCACTCAACTTAGTAGAAGAAATGGGAGAGGTAGGTCAGAATCTAGCCTTTCCCAGAAGGAAAGGTCTGGGAGAGCCCAACTGACCCTCCCAGTTGTTTCTGCATAAAATTGCTCCCCCTTAGTAGTTTTTCTGATCATCACAAAACAAACAAACAATGAAATAGGTAATAGATAATAAATTGCCCTTATTTTATCCCATTTTCTGTGTCTGCTCTTGTTATTGCTTGGGTTGCTCAGCAAGAAGAAAAGAGAATCACTTTCAATACTTAGTGCTTAAAAAGTCCTGTTTGGAACACCTGAACATTTAACCATATCTGTATGTCTGAATTAGGCCTGTGAGCTGTTTTGGGGACACAAGGAATATTGTATTGAGCTAGCGTGGATTCCTGAACATTTCATTTCAGCTTGCTTCTGATTCGAATTTACCCAAATCCACTCTTTTCTTCATAGTTAAGGTAGAAAAACTTGAGATTAAAATAATTTAGATGAGGGTGAGAAATCAAATTTGTTGTCAGAAAGTATCAGAAAGCAGATGTGTTATCTCCACCTATGGAAAAGAAGTGAGAACACAGCTCATCCCTAACATTTTGTGGCTTGTGAAAATCTTGACAACTTTTCTGTTCCTGCAGTCACAGTTAAATTGAAAAATCTGGCTATTTTCTCAAGTCTTCTTTGGGTCTCCTTAGCCTAAAGCTTGTGGGACTTTCATCAGATCTGTGGATTTTAAGATGTAAAGAAATGAAATAATACCATATTTGATGGAGCACAAAACGTTTCAGAAATATCACACTGTTTACAGAAAATGTGTTTGCTCTATGAATTGCTTGGCAATAAGCTTTCAAAAAAACTTTCATTTAATTGATTTGTTAATACTTGCTAAGTGAATTAGGAAGAGGAAGCATAGTTAGTGGTTTGAGTGTTGGGCTAGGCATCAGGGAATTAGGATTCAAATTCATGCTCGGTCATGAAATCCACTAGCTGCCCTTGTGCAAGTCATATTATCTCATCCTGAGAGGGAGGCAAACAAATTCTGCCGAGAAAACTCTATGATAGGATCACCCTAGGGTCCTCATAAGTCAGAAATGACTTGAAAGCACATAATAACACATGAAATATTACAGTGTCTGTTTTCATTCTTTAGTTTTTTTCCCACACTTTGCACAAAATCAAAAGAAATTCACCTTGAAAACTGTATGGCTCGTCTATGACCATGCTGCTGAATATACAGGGCATGAAATTGGCCTGAGGTGGTGCAGATTTGAGCCAATTCTGGGCTGTTTTCAGTGATGTGAAAAGCCATTAGGATCTTAAAATAGCCTTGATGTCCTGATAAAACACTCGGCTGCAATCAGTGCTATTTCTGTACACAGACTAGCAAAGTAGCTAGAGAGAATTGAGCTTTTTCGTTCAGGTTGCATTTGACATTTAAATATGGTTAAACAGAACTCCTCTTTCAACTCATGCTGTCACACTTCCTCAACTAGTAATTCCTCTAAGTGTAATGTTATAATGGATTGCAGCCTGTGAGTGCCGCATTTCAGAACACAAACTTTTAAAATTCTGAGCAGGTCTGTTGGCAAACATTAGATAATTCCAAGTAGCCAGGGATGATGGTTACCATGTCAGTTGGACAGTGAAATCCTCCGAGTTTCTATCTGAATCATAAAAATGCTATTTAAGGTCTCGATCTGTCAAGGACATTTTAAATTCTTTCCTGTTCTCTGGAGTACACAACTATGGTACTTAAACTAAAATCTAGAGAAAAATAACTTCTCTACTAACATCACCTCCATTGACTACAACATCTTTCTTCACAGTATTTGGGGCCAATAATATTTCACCTCTGAATAAATTAAAAGCATCAACAATATTAACACTGCTCTACAATATAGATTACAGAATTGTAGCATCCTGAAATCCTAGAGTTGAAAAGAAGCACAACCCCTTGTTATGCATTAATAAAAAACCAAAGTACTTCTAAAATATGTCCATATGCAGTCCCGCTAGTCAATCCCCACAGGCCCAGCACCTCAACAGATCTGGACTTCCCATTAAGCTTTGGATCTGTTGAAGTGTTTTATTAATCTGAAGTAAACTGGGAATTCCCAGTTTACTTCGGATTAATCCATATTAAACTGAGGCATTGTATGGATGCCTCAGATTAACCTGTAGTAGATCACGGGTATTGGGCCTGAGTAGAAGGGCCCTCCATAACCATCATAGCATTCAATTCATAGGGGAAGTCTGGTTGGCCACGGTAGTCCACACTCTGGTTACATCCCATATAGACAATTGCAACACACTCTACATGGGGTTCCCTTTGAAGACTGTTTGGAAGCTTCAAATGGTCCAGTGGGTGGCAGCCAGGTTGTAAACAGGAGCAGCGCTCAGTGAGCATGCAACTCCTCTGTTGCGCCAGCTCCACTGGCTGCCAGTCTGCTACCAGGCACAATTCAAAGTGCTGGCTTTATCCTATAAAGCCCTAAACGGTTCCGGCCCAGCTTACCTGCCTGAACGTATATCTCCTTATGAACCATCTAGTACTCTAAGATCATCTGGAGAGGCCCTGCTCTTGGTCCCGCCTCCGTAGGTGCGTTTGGTGGGGATGAGAGACAGGGCTTTCTCAGTGGTGACACCTCAGCTGTGGAATGCCCTCTGTGGGGATATTAGATCAGCCCCCTCCCTTCTGACATTTTGTAAAAAAGTCAAAACCAGGCTTGTTGAGCAAGCTTTTGCAAATGCAGCATAACAGGTAAATATGGAACTATGGAACGACTTGTCGATGTGACTGGAAAATGAGTATAGTAAGGAGACACTGATGATTTATGTTTTTACTGGTTTTGTATGGTTTTTATATTATATTATATGCTTATGGATGTATTGTTTTAATTTGTCTAATTGTAGTGTATAATTGTAATTTGTACTGGCATTGAATTTTGCCATTACTTATGTGTAAACCACTTTGAGTCCCCCTCGGGGTGAGAAATGCTGTAAATAAATAAAAAAAATATGCTAAATGTTTCTATTTTATGTCTGTTGGGGCATCGAATTGTTGCCAACTGTAAACCACCTTGAGTCGCCTTCGGGCTGAGAAAGGCGGGATACAAATACCAAAAATAAATAAATAAATAAATAAATAAATAAATAGGCTGGATCTACACTGGCCATATAATGCAGTTTGAACTGCACTGAACCAAGTTATATGATCAGTGTGGAACCAGTCAAACTGAGCACACTTTAATATTTGTCCTTCTCCAACCTCCTTTCCCCCAATAATTCCCAAAGATTGTTTATCTCCGAGATTAGCGCTGCAAGTTCCTTTAGGATGCAGTTATTTGGTCCTGAATATTTAAGTTCATTGAGAATTGCTGTTTTGCTTTACTACTTCTTTACCTATTCTGCAGTCACATTACTACATTGTTCTATTTTTACCAGTTAGAGCACTGTTTTCCTTACTGTTCCCAAGTGAGCCTCTGTGCAACAGATCACTTCACAGATCATGATTTGTCTAATTAACAAAGCTTTTTAAATGAACTGGAAATCACCTCCTTTTTGTGCTATAATAAATACAATACCAAGGCAACATTTACGTAGGTATAGGTGATGAAAGCATCGCTGTGGTTTGCCTGCGAAAGGCTGTCTACACAACCATATACAAAATTGCTTAAGGAAACAGTCCAAATAATTAATCTTCCTTCCTTGCGCATTCAGCAAAATAGACCTTCATTGTCAGTATAGTGCTGACATAAGATGATGATGACAAATAATGTATAATATTACCATTCATTAATGGGGAGTGATTGTAATAAGTTTGGTGGGCTGAAAATCTTATCTGATCTGTGAAAATCTTATCATCTGATATGGCAGGGATAAACATGCTTGCCAATTATATACAAATACAATAAAATAAGGATTCAAACACTGAACAAAATGGGGGAAAGTGTTGTGGAAACACTTGGTGAAGGACCAAACTTGCTAATTATCTGCTAGGCCCTCATATTCAAGAGTATCATGTGAATACAGTATTTATGTGTGTGCGTGCGTGTGTGTGTGTCAAGAACAGCTTGAGAAACTGCAAGTCGCTTTTGATGTGAAAGAATTGGCCATCTGCAAGGATGTTGCCCAGGGGATGCCCAAATGTTTTACCATCCTATGGGAGGCTTCTGTCATGTCCCTGCATAAGAAGCTGGAGCTGACAGACAGGAACTCGCCCTGCTCACTGGATTCTAACCACCAATCTTTTGGTCAGCAGTCCTGTAGGCTAAAGGGTTTATTCCATAGCACCACCGGGGGCTCCTTAAATACAGTATGATTCCATACCATGGAAGACATGTTCCCAGACTTGTGTGGATATGTAAAACTTTAGATAATAGTGAACTCTATTGGAATAAAGTACCTCTAGTCCAAGAATACCATAGAACTGTACTGAAGGACTTAGACAATGCCAGCATAGAACAACCCAGAACATATTTTGTCAGGGTGTTGATAATGAAACCACAAATAATGGTTTTGGATTATGAAGTTGTACTCTACCTTCAATCATGAATATAAGCTACAGCTCCCTAGAATGAATGAATGCTGCAAGTGGGTAAAGGGATACATATACTGCATTAACTGCTATACC